TTATGGCCCAGCTGGTTTCAAATGGACAAAACAGTAAAAAACAATCAATAGCATTAAGCATCTCTTGATCACAACTTTCTAGCAGAAACTGAAAGTTAAAAGTGGTCAGTCCACCACAGAGGCATCACAATCAGCTATGGCATCTGAAAGCAAAAAAGATTTCTTAATCAGATGAACATAGGTGCAGAAAGACTTGAAAGCAGACAATATTCCTTTTGACATCTACTTTTGACTGCTGCACTCAGCATTCCCCAGGTGGCTGGGACTCTTTCAATACGGTTTCTAGGAAAAGAGCTACAGTAGATCCAGTAGCACCAGCTCCCAATTCAGTACYTTTTTCATGCTCTAACAACAGCAAGCCAAGGCTGAGACTGGACAAAGCACTAAAAATAATCATTAGTGAGTGAAGAGCAATGAGAGCTGCTCCTCTAAAGAAAAAGCAATTTGTATTTTGGGACAACCATATAACCCCTTTGAAAGTTTCTATCTGCTTGCTTTTATAGAAAATTCTCTCCATTCTATTTTCTTTTTTCTCAGTCTGCATTGACCTAGGTACACTCATCAGACTGAAGCAAGGAGGATTATTAGATAAAGTAATATTCATCACTTAGCAATGGYATCTGTTCAGGCATATAGCATGAAAAAACAATGCCTCTTAAAGGTAAAACAGATCACATTTGGATAACCTTTGCCCAAACTCAAATTCCAAAGGAGAAAGCCAGAGTAGATGATGTTATAAACTACAACCACTGCTAGTAACTGCTACACTTGGGAAATAAACACATAATGCACAAGGTATAAGAAAACAAACCCTAATAAAACTGAGAGCTAAACTTGATATTACTTGTCATTGCTCAGGAGGCAGGAACTGTGGATAAATAAAGTACAAGGACCAAGAACAATAAAAATTCCATTGTCATCATACAAGTTTCTTAAAAAAAAGATGGGAAAAACCCAACGAACGTATTAATTTTTTTTTTTATACTGAAACTCAATTTTAAAGCCACAGAAGTAATTCATCAAGAGAAAAACATTAAAAGAAGCACTTATATAAACAGAAACTGCATATCACTGCCACTGGCRTTTCAACAGCAATATCCAGAGAAAGTAAATAGCAGAAGCCTGGCGAGAGATCTTTGTGTCCAAAAGTCTGTTTGCTTTCTCAACTGTATTACCTGGTAAAATAAAAGATACAGTCTCTCTCAGAAACTGTTCTTTCACATCTCTAAAATATCAAGGATACAAAGTTAATAAAATACATGTATTTTAAAGGCTTTAGCTAAATCTKTCAAACATTCKAGATATACTGTCAGTTGAAAAATGYACTGAAAAATAATTGCAAWAAATAYTAATGTACATAATCTTTATTTACATAATAYAAGTGCATTGTAACTGTGAATTGTTATCCTGAAGTACTTTTGTCAAACCAGTTGCTCATGTTCTTCAGGACTTGCTTCTAAAACAAAGTTTTGGCATTCTCATAAACTTCCTTTAGTGGATGTGAACAGCAATGAAATTCAAGATACTGCAAATCATTTTCCCTWAAAATAGCTAAATTAAATCTAAATTAAGCATGCAGCAGAACCTGATTTTTCTATCTGCAGTGACATCTAGTGTAAGAAATCAATACCACACTTACACAGGCTTCTAGAAAAGAGATGCTATTTTTATTTATCGTGTGATTATGGACCAAGACAAACAAGACTAATTAACATCAGCCCTCTTAAAACGTTCATAATATCTTTTCCTCTGCACAACACTCACAAGCCAGCTGAAGACAATTCTATTAAGCATAATATGTAAGAGACCACTTACAGTGAATGTGCACTTTTCCTTTCCGCACAAATTGAGCTTGATAAATGAACATACTTTACATAATTGTTAGGGGGCAAATAATTGTTGAGAAAGCCAACATCCCTAAAAACAGAGCTGCCACTCTATTTATTCTATCAACTTTTCTAAAAGAAAATAAATTCACCAGCAACATCTGATTTAAATTCCTTCTGCCAGTTCCATAGCTGTGCAATCYTGTGTTAATTTTGCAGAGATTTTTAAACCTCTTAAAAATTCAAGCAGATGACATAGCTTGTAGAAAGGAAACAAAAACTGGAAGTATGCAATGAGAATTGTCTAACACAAACAGATGACAAACTGAAGCAGTTATAAAATATCAAATAAGATTTGTTCAAGTCAAAGTACAGATGTAATTCTCCCTTTAGAAGTACACAGTTATGCTTCAAACACAGCCAACAACAGACATTCTAACCAAAATGCAACACCAATATGTCTAACAAGTAACAAGTTTACAAAAMTAATTCACTTGCTGAAATGTGAAAAAGCCTTAGAAACAATTCCTGCCAAAGATACAAATAAACACATATGCCAAAATGACAAATGGTTTAAATACAGTATCATACAGACATTGTTTTATATATGAATGCACACCAGTCTTGTAACTCCTTTTTTTTATCTGATCTGTAAATAGAACCATTTTTAGAACCTGTTCTCCACAGGAATGTGACTAGAAGTCTTTAAAACTCACATGCACTAAGAGTAGAATTAAAGCCAATATAATTTTTAGAAGTGAGCCAAAGATCTTGTACAACTTCTCTACCCTACTGCCATCAAAAGTGGAAGTAGATACTAGATTTTTAGGTGAAAGCAGAAGTTGCTAATTGAGAACACTTCTCACCTGATGCCTGAGCTTGTTCAATGACATGAAAGAATGAAGAAAACAAATATTCATCAAAGGGCAACATACTGGGGTAGAACACAACACAAGTGAGAAGAGGAAAAGGAGACAAGCCAGACAGGGTTAATAGGTAGTAACAAAAAGGCATAAACCAGCAAAATAGTAATGTATGCCCAGTTTCTGGCAGAAGAACACAGACATAATAGTTTAAATACCATTMAGCAACAGTGGTTTAAAGATTATCTGGAAATGCAAATAAATGTAGACAAAATCAGCATTGATATAGAACACAACAAACTATTCTTGACAGAGTTCAATATGGTATGCAAGCCACCACAGAAAGCAAATTATTAAAATCAAAATATACATGCTTCTGCCACTTTAATCGACACCTCATAAAGAGCAACAAATTGCTTTCAGTTTTGGTCTCCTAGAGTTTTTGCTGGATATAGTCAAGATTCCTCAAGAAAGAAAATTCCCCTGCTTAGATTAGTATGTCCACCAAAAGAATTGCTTGATATTAGTCTGTATTTACTCATCATAGCAATTCAAGGGTATTTCATCTCTCCCAAAAAGAGGCTTGATACAAGCAGGCAGTAGATGTTAATGCTTTTCMCAAGCAGTTTTCATACAGTTTTCTTCTTCAGGCAGGAGTCACCATTGTTAAGGCACAAATATGTACTATTAAGCAGTAGTCAAGGAAATGGCACACAAAAAAGAATAMTCAAACAAAACATCAATAAACAGTGTTTAACAACACATTTACACACCATGTGGTAAAGTGCTGCAGCAGAATTAGTATTACTGATGCAAGTGAGGTAGTGTCACCAAATCCAATAGGACAAAGCCAGTTAAAGMAGTGACTAGTTAAACTATTGACCACARRAWTWRG